TTCGTCATGTGACACTGAAAGCAGATTTCTTTGCACTGCCATCCCACTGACATGTTGAACCAGGCCTCCAGAGTTGCAAACCCTGCCACACTATGCACACGAGGTTATGAGCCGTCACTTAAGTATAATTATTAGTACTCCACTAGTATAAGTATGATTATATTTTGTAATGATTCAACTAGCAGCGCCCCCAGCTCAAAGTTGCAATACGAACCTTGACGAACTTCCAGTCACCCCTGACCTCTGCCAGGGTTGCAATGACCGGCTCCCCATTCTTCAAGGCCAGGGGTTCTTCGGTCAGCTCCGGAAAAACCTTTTGAGTCCAGACATCTTCGTCGAAGGTGTCCAACAGATGCAGTGGGGTTCCAGGACACTTGCCATGGAACAGGATATTCATCGACATAGCAATCTCAGCTTGCTGATTTAAGATCGGTTTCATTAGAGAAGCGAACATCTCTGTGGTAATAGTATAGTTCAGATAAGTCACAGGCTTCATGTAGGCCTGGATCGTGTCATATCCACAACTCAATGCCTCAGGTGATCACTTTGATGTCCTGGGAATTAGACAGCAGCTTGTGTGAAAGCTTTCAGGAGTGTGCAAACAAGTAGCATCCCGAAGCACAAACAATGGCCATCTAGAGGACATTGAATGCTTTTCCGTCGACAAGATGTCACTCAAGGTGACAATCACAAGCTTGTCCGCATGCTGGTTGAACTGAGCATCATCCCCATACAAGCCCATGGGTCGGTGGGCTTTGCCGCCCATGGCTGGATGGGCCCGGCCCCATTCAACACCGGTAGCCTCTGCATGCTCCCAAAACTCCCTGATATTCACATCCGGAAGCAATCCCTTCTTGGCCAGCTCTGGCACCAATTCATGTGGTAATATCACTGGCATCTTCCTGCACAGTTCTCATAAGTGCAATTAACATCCATGTGAATGCTCAAGCTAGCCAGCTATGGTACTGCTCAGTGTCCTGACAACCACACGTTCATCTCGCATTGATTTTCGCAGTGGCACATCGATGTAGCGGATTGGAACCTGGGATCCAGAATATACCGAATTGGCCTAAGCACTAGCCCTGCCCCGAAAGCTTATTAGAAGGTTCTGGGCTATGATGGGTCATATTGCAAAGTAGGTACAGAGCAGGGGTATCGTCGAAGCAGGTCTCGTTGTGCATTTTTGGCATGTTGGATTCCCTGGGCCGCCTCAGCACCTCCCCTGACCTCATTGATGCCATACGTCACCTGCAGCTCCTGGACAGGGCAGTGGATTATGGACGACTAGAAGTACATGCTCCTGATCTGCGCTATATCTCCTTCTTCATCACCCGTGCCACTTTGCGGACTTTGGTGTAGCTGAGGTCCTAGGTCGGTGAAGCCATACAGTACGCTGTAGCAAGCTTTGATTCTATTCGGTAAATATCTAGTCGCACACTGCAGGGCAAACCCAGCTATGTGTAGGCTAGAGTCCCCACGACCAGCTTCTTGAAGCAGGAAGTTCATCAAAGGCCCCGGAGTATTCCGTCTCGGCAAACCTGCGCGATGGGAACAACCACAGATTGTAATTCAATCCAAGTTCGTTCGAATGTGCAAAGCTCTCTCGGATGCATGAGGGTCAGACTCTATTTTGTTGCCCCAGCAGAGCACTGCAGCACTACAGCCATCAGAGTAGAGGAAGCCAAATGAAGTTCAAATCAGCACATGCGGTGAAAAGGCCGCACGTGTTCACCCACACATATGTGCACTGCAAAGCTTAAGCACATATACACTGTGGAATACCCATCACCGGCAGGGGTCATGTACAGTAGTCACATTCCGAGTTTTGCACTCGAAGATGGTACTCGCTATTGTGCAAGTTTCACATGTATGATTTCAATGCAAGCACTGCACGCCCTGCCCCAGAACCCAGGATCAAAACTCAAAGCCATGAAAAACTCTCAAGGAGCATGGCTGGCATCTGCAGCTCCCTTCGGGCGCTACTTGCCCTTCTTCTGCGCTGCTCTGGAAGCTTTCTTTGGGGCCGCTTTGGCCTTGGCAGCAGCCTTGTCCACCTGGGCTGCAGGGGTATATAGTCAACTACATACAGGCTAAGGTCAGGGTTTGGGGATGTTAGGGGCTAGCCAGCCTAGGGATGCTTAGTGGCCATATGTGTGCAGGTCCAGCAAGCATTGGGGTCATGGGGCTTGTATATTATTAATATTAAGAAGTATAGGCCAGGGTTTCAGGGCTAAGGCGCTTTTATGGTACCGGGGTTACAGGGGTTGGGGTTTAGGGGAGTGTTGCCTTTGTCTGGGGTTTCTTGATTTTGGAAGTTTAAGGAGTTAGGGTTTATGGGTCAGGGTATCCACAAAACAATAACGAAGGCCTGAATTAATTGTATCGTATTCTCATGATCATTGCCAGAATTCTGGCAATGATCATGAGAATACGATACAATTAAGTAAACAACTAGCCTCCCCTAAAGCCTGTTATGGAGATTCTCATCAATAAGACTGGGCACAAGCTGGGGCTTGATCGTCTTGAATGCACCCTTCGTCATGGCTTCCACAGCCCTGGTAGCATCATCAATCTCCGACTGAAGCAGAGCTTCATCCTGGGCCTCGAGAGCCTCCGAAATTGACTTCTCCTTTGCATCTAGCTTCTCAATGTGCGCATTCAGCTCATTCACAAAGCCGCTCTGTAGATGCTCAGACCTCCAGCATATTTGTATTAGATGAATTGATCAGCTCCTAGACACAAAAATCACGTAAGTACAAATCATACAGTGCTAGTGAGCCTGGTGACAAGCGATCCGATGATTTCACACTCCTGATTAGAGCCTTGCACTCTGTTCGCTTCGTGTCGATGTCTTTCTTCTTCTGTTTGGCCAAGGCAGCAGTTGTCTTGGGCTTCGGATCTGGCTTGGGCACCACCAGCTTCTCCGTCTCATCGTGCTGCTGTGGCAGCACCGAGAAGCCTGGTCCTCCAGCAGCATCCGGCCCGGCAAGAAAGCCTGACCTAGGAGATTGCAATTGTAAGTTAAAGCTAAGTATATATGTACATATAGCAAATTATAGGAAAGGTAATTGTATGGACAAAATCCTGCATTACCCATTATACTATAAGGAATATACCAATACCATTTTCCCATAGTATAAAGTCCTTAGGGTCATGCAGGATTTTGTCCATAAATTATCAGTAGAGTTCACTATTTCAGCTTGAAAGTGTAACCCACCAATTAATCTGAATCACTTGTCCCGGGGAGCTTGGGTTGGGAGTTTTGGCTAATAGGTTGCGGAGTCTAGGATAATACTTTCGGATCCAACTACACTCCTAGAATCGAGACTTTTGGCCCTGCCACATCATGTCCCTGGTTTGGGATTCATCGAGGTCCACCGAGGCCTCAAGCTCATGTGCAGCCTCCTCTCTAGCAGACTTCTTGAAGCTGGTAGCCCGCCACACCCGGATAAGCTCCCAGTCCTTGATTGCAGCATGCCATGCATCACCACTCCTGTAACCCAATTAAACACCTGCTGCACACCATCACTTTTTTAGACCATTGGTGTGACACACATGCTTTGCATCATCACCCTCACAGGCCATTGCTGTGCTTGGGACTATGACACTGCTTTAGCTTCTATGCATCATCATTAATCTAGCTGAGGTACTTCATTCCCGGGCATATCCGGATGATCCATCACGAATGGGGGGTCACCATGCTTGGCTTTCATCTGAAGCTGCCTCTTCTGGTGGCGCATCTGTCTTGCCACACTCGCCCCATATTGCTCCTTCAACTCTCGGAAAGGCACCATGGCCTCCTCTCCAAGAGATTCCGTCGTTGCATTCTTTTTCAAGCGAACAACGAGGGAACTGCGAAGCCAGTTTCCCTGGCTCTGCAAATACTCATCAAAGAGGCCAGAGAGCACGGAGCCGTCTAAGATGATTATCAAGAATGCAATCGAGAAGTTAAGGATATATATATATGCCCCCCTAGCCATTTTACTACTACTATTTACTATATATATATATATATATATATATATTTGGGTAGGCTGGGTGGGTTGGGTGGGTTGGGTAGGTTGGGTGGGTTGGTGGTTTGGGTAAATTGGGTTATATTATGTATTTGCTTAATTTGAAGCCTAGACCCCCACAATGCCCTATAAACTTGATTCCTATACACTAGGTTTCAGCTAGAAAGCTGCGCTTGTTTGCCAAAGCCAACTTGCTGACCTCCGGAGGGCAAGTGGAACCTTAAAAGAGTGTGCATGTAGGATTTGCAGCATTCAACATAACTTGCATATGGAGCGAGGAATTGCAATTGATACGAACCGGCCGACCTTAAAGTGTGCTGCTGGGTCATCTTAACTGCAATTGAGACACTGCGAACCGAGCGGTAAAACCTCATATAGAGGTTATGGGCCAATCGCTTCTCCCGGGCATCCTCGCTCTCTTCGCACTCTTCAAGTGCTCTGGCCTGGGACAGTGGCTGTCTTTCTAATCATATATATTGTTAGCAGTCGGCGGGAGCAAAGTTTCAAGGGTAGTTACAGTTTGATACAGTGTGTAGTGCAGGGCTTCAGCAAGTGCACAGCAAGTCTTATTATTGTTGGCGAGTGACTTCCAGCTCGATTGTGGTTTTCCTGTTCAAAGCTGCCTGGATCGCACTGCCCACTTTGGCTTTAACTGGGGCCACCGGGGCCGGGGTTTCCTCTGCCGGGGGTGCACTTGGCGTCTCCCCCTGAGGTCCATGATCATCGTCATCATCGATGACCACATGAATAGGCGCGAAGATGGGTGCATCAAGGTCGGGCTTTTCCACGCGTGGAGGCACACAAAGAAAGGTGTTCTCAACCTGTGCATAACACATCGGTTTGGCACAGCATTCACTGCTAGATCTAGCACACATGCTGTCATGACGCGCACAATATATATTGCAGTTCAGAAACCTTGCAAGGCACACCAGACACGAGGGATTCCGAAGGAGGATCTAGGAAGGCTGACAGCTCCGCCTCAAACGATTCCAAATCAATATCCTGTGCAGTTTCCACATCACCTGTTGGCTCAGTGACTTGAGTACTTTCAGGGACCGGGGCATCCACAGGCTTCTGCATGATCAGTTCGTGGAGCCGGAGTGTTGCATCCACGCACTCTAGCTGCTTCTCACACTTCTCATCCTTCTTGCTCTGCAAAACATTCTGCAAAGCATCTGTTGAAGCTTGCAGCTGATGCTTCACAGCTGCTTGTTTTTGGCCAAGTTGCTCTGTTGAGAGTTTACCCTTCTCACCAAGCATATCAAGCTGCTTCATGATAGCATCAGCTTTCTTCTGCTGGGTTTCGATTGTTGTCATCACCTCACTCTCACACTCAAGCATTGCCGTTGCTGCAGCTGCAGCATCCTGGTAGGACACGATTAGCCTCTGCAAGGCCAAACCAGCCTCATCAGGAGTTTCCCCTTGGCTGGCCCCCAAGCCACAAAACTTCCTGAGACCCGGAAGATCGTGAGGTTCTGTGGGGCCCGGAAGGTTTTTTAACAGCTCAACAACCCATTCATGCGTAAACCCAGCCGGCAGGTCCACGATGCGTCCTGGAGCCAGCAAGGCCGGGTCTTCAAACATCATCAGACAAACTGTGTCTTGCACAGTCCACAAGTCTGTCTCTGTATCCACTGATGGGGCTTGGCTATCCTCATGAGGAGCTCCATCCATGGTTGCCGATCGAGGCATAGTAGTCATAGTATCCATGGAACGTAGGGTTTCACCTCAACTACAACACCAGGGCCATTCGAAGTAGCTAGCTATTGCATAATCGGATAGGTTAGAAGCTGCCCCCACCCTGTAATAGTGACCATAAGGATTATATAGGATTGTATTATTAGGGCCTATATTATATTCCTATTATACCACTATTACAGGGTGGGGGCAGTTTCAAACGCATAGGGTTCAAATATTATAGCAGCCCATCCAATCTTGAAGTTCTAGGCCTGTCCCATGTTATTAGACACTTAAACATCCGAATCATCAGAAAACTTAGCTGGCCAGCCTGCAGCAGGGGCAGCAGTGTTCCCCAGGGTCGAGGGCGCCGAAGGTTTTTCTGAGGCTTGTGCCTCGGCTATTATGTTACTGGCATTTTGCTGCTAAACTTTAAACTACATGTATCTATACTAATTATAACTAGGGACAACTAGACAGGCTTGCAGGCAAAACACGACACCGAAGCTCCCAGCTAGGTTTTTCTTCGGGGTGGCCACCTCACTCTTCACCTTAACCTTCTTCAACTCAGGGCTCTTCATTGGGGTGGACATAGCACTAGCTGGGGATGGCTTGGCAGGTGAACTCTTCGGCGGCGGGTTCGAGCTCAAGGAGGTTCTGGCACTTCCGCCACTCATCGAGCCACTTTCGGGAGCATTGAGGCTAGACTTCCCACGTAGCCGCCTGAGGGCTGCAAGACCTTGAACAGTGGCCGGGGATGAAGCCTTCACTGCAGTCGGCGTCACAGCCGGCGAGGGTTGCTGCACAACTCCTGTTCAGGGAGGGTTATTTAATTTGGGATATCAGTGTATAAAGGATGTCAATGCATTGGGAGTCCTGCTTTGGCAAGGGCTTGGGCTATCTCTTGGTTCACATCGAGGTTCCGGTTGCTCATGCCGCGCTTCGGGACCTCGGACAGATTGCGTTGTACAACTAGTTTGTGGAATGTGTGTCATCGAGAGTCAATAATGTAGGACAAGTTTCGCCCTTCGGCAAAGACATGATCACACCGGGACGATCAGCAGGCCACTGGGCACCGTTGCAAAGCAGTCCAGATCTACAACGGATGACAACATATTGTACAATTACAAAACTTACGAATTGCACTAGATACATGAGGAGTTCAATGCAGAAGCCATGCTGTGTATATACCCATGCGATAACTTGTTTTTGTTGTTCCTGGGCAAGGAGCATAGCTTCTTAGGGGACATATCATCACTGGAGCCACAATTCTAGCAAGATCAGCAAGCTAGCCCTGGCACTCAGCTCACCCCTCGACCAGCATAGCCGACTTATACCTTGCGAACATGTACAAAAGCAGGTATCTAGTAGATGTAGGCTGCATATCCTGTACATGGCCCAATATTAGCCTCAGAGAACCCCCACCCACAGCACGAATAACGCGAATAACGCTGAATATCGCTCTTATTGTTCCAAAACGAGGCACTGTAACGGCCAATATCGCTGAATAACGCGGCCTGTTTTTCAGGGAAATGCACTCCAAAACCCACAAAATAGGTCCAAAACCCTCAAAAATAGGCATTTCTGCAGCATTTTGGCTTATTTTTCCGGTGGAATGCAGTCTAAACCCACAAAATAGGTCTAACACCCACAAACTTAAGTCTAAAACCCACGAAACTACGCATTTCTGCAGCATTTTAGCTTATTTTCGAGTGAATGCACTCTAAACCCACAAAATAGGTATTAAACCCACAAATATAAGTCGAGGTCGAAAACCCACAAATAAATTTCTACAGCATTTGGCATGTATTTACTAAATAAGTTCCCTTTCACAGGCTCCTTTAGCTATGCTGCGACACACAACCAAAACCCAAAACCTTCGAATAACTCCAATACTAAGCCAGTGTCTTGTTAGCCTCCCAACCCTGATCCCTTGCAATTGGTAAAGCCTCCAGCAAGCCTGCAACTTAACATATAATAGAGAACCGCCACAAGCTGTTATAATACCGAGAACCCCCTAGGCCAGCAACTATTAACACGAATAACACTCAATAACTATACTAAGCCAGCAGCTTAACCTAATAACAAAGCAAATACAGTGGAAAACCCTCACGAATGAAACCTATGCTATACCATCCTTTGAAAGCCCCGGATCGATTGTTGAGACACCAAGCAGCAACTTAGCCTGAAAACCTTCCTAAACCCCAACTTAAGCCATCAACTTCACCAGCCCCAACACCCAAACAGCATCCACATTTCAACAACCATGACGCTGTAAGGACGGCATGTACTGCTCTGCTGCAGCTGGTGTCGGATCGACAAATCTGGAGAGGCAATCACTCCGAATCACAGCTGCACAGGAATATCCAGTACTAGTATTTTTCAATATGGAGCATTGTACATCATCAGTTCAGGTTGCCTCCCTCAAAGACATAGGCTCTATCTGCATTGGAACATTCGGATCCGGTCTGAAAGCACCACGAAACACTTCCCCATTCAGGAAGTCCTGATGAAAGACCAGGGCAATCATATAAAGAGTACTGGCCACACACACCAGCAAGGACACAACTGCACTGGGGCTGTCCAGGATGGGTTGCAGGTTGGCAGCCTTCCAACACCCAAAGCCATCTGGAAGTTCCTGGGATTGCGCAGGCATGGGGTATGTAGTTTATGATTTATCAGGAGAAGTAGACAGGGAATGAACTATCGGAAGTTGTTGCAGGGCATGTGTTTGGAGCTGAGTTCATGTGGGATCTAGTCGACGAGGAAGACTTTAGGGGGTCCAGCCAAATCTCCCAAAAGAACTGAACCCTGTATTTTCTCATTAGCTAGTACCACGAGATATTATCCTACAGGCCCAGCCCTAACCCTAAAGTCACCCGAAACACGACCCTTTCAAACAATCGGATTTGGTATGAATCATCAGCTCTCAGGAATTGGTGGATTCACCCCACATACATGGCATATCAAATTAAAGCAGGTTACGGAAACCATTGGAAGATGAAGTACCAGGAGAACCATGTAGAAATCTGAAAAACCATGCAAACCTGTTCCCTCTGAGTGTCTGTGTGAACGATGTGATTGTTCTTGAACTCATGGCGGCTCGGGAATGAGTCCGGAGTCATAGCAGAATGAGCATTCCCGATGAAGTCAGCATAAGCACGAGGGTATGCAGCCGACGCCCGAAGATTCTTCGCAATCCCTGTGACTTTGTTGCCAGGGCGTCTCTTCACGAGCTGCAACTTCAGCCGCACAGCCTGATCTGGATTTCATTCGGAATACTTAAGTGGTAGACACACACCTGTACTGACAACTAGCTAGAGTAGCCAGCCTGCTTCCTGATACACTTTCGAACATGCTTGTTCAGGTAGCCAGCGTGAAAACCAAGTAAGTGCAGCCAAGGCCTGTGCCACAACACAGGAATTGATTGATCTGACGTGTTTTCAGACATCATATATAGGCTTTAACTTCGGCCCCCACGCAGAACCAATTGCGAGAGAGCGCTTCGCAGAGAGCGAGCCGAACATACCCATCCACCTAGGCTGATGCAGCACTGCTAGTCTTGTGGGAATACTCGACATGTGAGCCTAAAGTAGGCCTAGCTGAGGCCTTAGCCAGAAAGTCTGCTGGTGAGCGATCTTCAGGTCTTTGTCGTTAATTGAAAGGATGAACTTGACATAGGGATCATAAATTGCCATGCTTGAAGACGGTTGCTCCAACATCCAAAAGCATTGTCGTGAAATAGCCAGAGCAACTAGGAGCATGCTTCGACAGCAAATTGCATTGGCCTCGGCCACCCATGTCAAAGCTTGGTTGCCACCTGGATTCAATGGGCTCCGCTTGTGTTGGCTGGAGCTCATAAATATATAGGAAGCACAAGGTAGGCCCACATACAACAGAGCGCCCCTGTCCATCCGGAGCACTTTTTGGACAGCTTTGATGAAACCCGTTGTAGTCAGTATATTCTCCTCTGGATCATGACGGAGACAGTCATATTCATCCCTGAGCTTGACAAACTGATCATGACCGCGGGCTAGCAATCCCAAGCAAGACTGTGACAGAGAGGATCAGAATATCATGTAGGCAAGTGGCGCTTGCAATCCAAGCCTTCCTAAGTATCCAGGAAGACACACTGTGTGATCTTATCCATATCCAATTAGAGGCAAGATGCTGAATGCCCGAGCAATCGAACCGATGCCCGAGAAGAGCTCCACACATGCTAGGTCCTTAATTATCCATTAGTTTCGGATTTGGGTCTGGGCTAAGCATATATATAACCACAACACCCACTAGGCTTCGAACCCTTTGCTTGAGGTCTCGATCCACTGTCATCTGCTCGACATAGTCCACGATGTGAAACCTTTTGGTGGCTGGCGGGTCTTGGCGGATCTTATTTTGAGGTATGCGCTGCTGAGTCCGACACATTACTGCTGGGATCTGTAGCAGCAAGAGGAAGTGCATGCTTCGTCGGGAGAGCAGTAGGGCCATTGCGACAAACAGCTGAGTGGATCTGCAAAAGTGTATGTCAGCTCTTTTTGTTTTCTGTGGGGGTTATAACTTGAATTGGAGTGTTCCAGGCCTGGGATTTGTAGGTAGGGTTAAGATCAAGACCTACAGTGACATGTATGTATTATTCCACCTTTGATGAATATCTACAAGTCAAGCCCAAGCCGAGGTTCTCGATTCAGGAGCCCTGTGATCAACAAGTTCAAACACCTGCAGCTGCATGCCTTGAACAGTGCTCGAGAATGCCATGCAACTCAAGCTGCAAGAGGCTCCAGCAGTATGTAGCACACACAGACCTCTCATCAGGCAGGGGAAGCTGCGAAGCTTTTTCAACAGCGAGACATCGAAGATATTTCCCAAAACCGACCCACATCTCTAGAGGCTTGGGTGGTCTAAGGCCCGACACTTTTCAGCGAAGGCCATTCACCCACTAGTCTGTAAATCGGAACACAGCAGACGAGTCAGGGGGCATCCGTTGTCCAAAGTATACA